TGAGTGTGAGTGTGAGTGTGAGTGCGAGTGTGAGTTTGAGTGTGAGAGTGAGAGTGAGAGTGAGAGTGTGAGTGAGAGTGAGAGTGAGAGTGAGAGTGAGAGTGAGAGTGAGAGTGAGAGTGAGTGAGTGAGTGAGAGAGAGAGTTTGGCCAGGAGGTCTCCTCCTGGATCGAAGGCCACGGATCTCTGAGTGCTTCCCCAGGCTCTTCACGAAGGAACTCAAGGCCTTCGGCTTTCTGCTGGCCAAGGACCCGGCAGAAGACCCGACACAACGACGAAGAAGCATCACGAGGTGACAGACCACGACACCACAGTGAAATGAGGCAAAACTGCTCACGACAGTTTTCGAAGTGGTCTTGCCATGGCCTCTCCCCACCAGTGCGACACAAACCATGTTTGGCTTGCTTCTCTGCTGTCGCTGGTCACGATCTCCGCATAACCTCGGCGCCCGGGCCAAGTACAACGCAAAGGTGTGTGTGTGTGTGCACTGTCCATGACACGATCAAGGGGCTCATGTCTTCCCGAAGCGTCAACGGCTCAAGGACCCAATGATTCACCTTGCCAAAGGGAGGTCCACACGATGTGCTACCTGCGGAAAGAAGGGGCCTGGTAGATGTTGGCATCCTCGAGCTGGATCGAGGGCAGTTGGCCTTCCCGGTCATACCATCCGAGAATGCAGCCATCTTTCGAAGCCAGACCTGCAAAAGGCATGGCCCATTCAGCAATGGTGCAAAAAAGCTTGCTGGCATTCCTGAGAAGCCTGAACAGCTACGACGCCACTCCTGCCTGTCATGAAGTCCAGCAGCGCCGCATAATGCTGCAGCAGGAGGCCTCTCTCTTCGAAGCGTGGGATAGCTGTGGCACAGTCGCTTGCGTCGGTCAGCTTGCTGAAATCCTGCGCGACGGCACCCCGCCCCCAAATTCAATGCAACTGCAGTACCGCTCCACTTCCTTTCCCTAGCAATGACCCACTGAAGCCTAGCTGAGTCGCGAACCTGCCAAGCTGGCGACATGTGACATGTTGCTACGGGGCTCTAAGACAGAGGGCCCACCAAAAAAGCCCCTGATGCAGCCAAACTTGCTCCTGCCCCGCAGGCGTGGTATGGTATATGTGTGCCAGAAAGTCGCAAACCTCAAGCAGGATGGACACAACGGCCGGCAAAGGTCGAGAGCTTCTGAAAGCCAAGCTGCAGCCACTTCCGGCTTTGCCTGTTGCATCGCTGGCTCAGACGGTGCTTCTGCCGAAGAACAGGGTGCTATTGTAGGGCAAGCCGGCACTAGCTAGGAAAGCTCAAGAAAAAATCATATATTCGTGGAGCGAACGAGTCATGTAGCCAGCACCAGCACCCTACGAAGGGGCCCAGGCTTGTCTGTGGCCAGCCTGCGTCTCAAAGGTATATCCGCAGGCTTCCTCCAACTCCGAAAAGATTTGAGCCACAGCGTCGTCCTCGGCCGATTCCGGGGTAGAGCAGGGTAGGGTCTTCCTGGAATCCAGGCGAACATCCCTCGCCTCGCACTGGATGCCAAGAGATGCACAGCACGCGGAGATCTCAGAAGGGCCGCATACAGCCCAGGCCTTCGTGACACAGGGGATGTTTTGAATGTTGGCTTGAGGGTGATGTGCAACGGTTCCTTACCACGCATGCAAACAAGCATCCACACACCAGTCCGCCAAGCGAAACCTAAACAGTTTCTTGAGTCACGGTCCCCCCTAAACACCCTTAAGACCCTAAAGTGCCCTAAACCCTAAACTTTTACTCGGCCTTGGAGCCCAACTGTTCCAGAAACTGGTGGAACTCCGCAAGCTTCAGCCTCCAGTGAAGCTCTCAGCCGAGCTATGGCACACATGCCGATCAGTCGATCTTAACTTAGAGATATTATGGACCGATCAGGCGCAAGGGTACAAGGTACTAGCAGGGTTCCCTGCGGTGATCTTCGTTCTCATGCTCTTGAACGTTCGGACTGCCTCCGCATCGCTCGGTGCTTGACCCACTGGTCAACCAACCCCCTTGACCGACCAGGCTTCCCCAAAAAAGTAGTACACCTGTGGGTGAGATGTTTCACACTTGTTGGTAATCTTTGTTTTATGTCAAGATGCACTTCGGACCCACTTGCACAACGGAAGCCGTGGTCTCTGGTCTTATTCGGTGTCTGTCAAAAGTCGGGGTAGGCAGCTGCACTCGAGATCAAGCTGCTCCGGGGTGCACAACTCGTTAAAGAACCCAAATTCCAGGCCGCGGCAACATTCGTGACGCAACACCAATCGTGCAGTTACACTCTCCACCTCCCGTCCCCCGCCTGCCGAATCCCCACCACCGCACCCTTCGTTTCACACTCCCTACCACCAGCCTCTGCAGCAGAAAACGCAAGTTTGTAGAGCCCGCGCCTCGCTGGAGATGACTTTCGTGCATCTTCGGCCGTTGAAATTGACATCAGGATGCTAGCAAAGCAAGTGCTGTTTCTGCAAAGATACATGCCGAAGTGGGGTCTTGTATCTGACTGCCTCCTGTCTGCCATGTCGAAACCATTTGGACCATAAACACTGCCGACAAGAACATTCCAAGAGTCATCAACTCGTCATGGTTTTCCCGCGCACGTAAGTCGGCATGTGATTTTCCCCCGAGCACACAAGACCATCGAAAGGCTGATGGCATGCCGTGTCGCCACTTGCACTTTTAGCCTGCTGTACTGCTTGCAAATGCGACGCATGTCATCAGCATTTCCTCTTGACACTCGCGCAGGCAAAGTGTCGAACCCCAGTTGGCAGTAGACCCACCACGCGCTGGCTTTGTCAGCATTCGTGGCGGCCAGTGAATCCAATATTCGAACTCTACAAGTTAGAACATGATTCGAGGGGGATAGAATACGAAAGAGCGTTCCCAAAGCGGCAAAACTTCTGATGGGAACCTTTTAGAACGAACCCGAGAAGCTCCAAGCAATTGAAGTACGATTAGCCCCAACAATTACGTCCCGAATCTAGCGATTCAGTGCAAGCTCAGCCACTTAGTCCTCGTACAGAAGTATCAGGAGTTCTTGTACGTTCTGGATTCATTGGCCCCCTGCCTGGCAGCATTTCTCTTCTTGAGACTCTTAGCCTCCACGGCTCGGTCAGCTGGAACCCGGCATCGGAGCCTCGGCTCAGCTGCCCAGACACGGAACCGCTTAGAGCCGTGGAAATCATTGACATGGTTTTGCGGCGCGGTCCACAATCCAAACCTATAGTCTTTCGTTTGTCAGTATCTACCACAAAGAACCCTTCGATGCCGCTGAAGATGATACTCCAAGCATCCGACTACCCGAAGTGCGTTTCGTCTGGCTGCCCGCGAAGGCAATGCTCGACTGGCCTCGGCTAGTCGACGTGGCATCTGATGACATGCACAGCTGCTTCGGCCAAGAGTCTCCCTGCTCTTCCGCAGGCAGAGCTGTAGCTTGCACTGGGTGATGAAGCGTCTGCAGCGGAGGCTGCGGCGGAGGTTGCAAAGTCTGCTGCGGAGGCTGTGCTGGAAGCTGCACTGGAGGCCGCGTGGCATGCGAAGGCCAGGGAAGCCGGCGGCCGCTGGACGGCGAAGTCGTGGCCTGAGATTGAAGTGCACCGCTATATCCTAATGTTACGTTTGACGCTCGGTGCCCAAAGGCGTGCGAGCTGCAGTACCCCGCACTCTGTACGCTATTTCCTTCTTGCGTACCCCGTTTAACAAGCTGGAGCACGTGTTGCGCTTCCACTACGCACGGCATGCACCGCTTTGCGAGCCAGGATGGTGTAGACGTGTCTGTCTGTTGTGAATCCTTTGCCACTCTTCCTATTCCTTCAGGTTAAGGGAGCTGGTCAGGCTCCCCGGCCCATAGGGCCCCCCAGCGTTCCGGGGCTTTCGGGGAGACACTATACGTACCGCAACACGTACCAAGAAGGGCTCTACACTGTACTTTGCCACTCTCTCTCTCCCTCTCCCCCTTTTCTCCACTCCCCTACTACTCTCCTCCTCCTCTACGCCCCTGCCCTTTCAACCCTCGTACGTGCTTTTCTTTACTAACTCATCTATCCATGCTGAATCTGATGTTCACCGCTTAAACATACGAAGCTTGCAGCTCACTTCTCAACTTCTGCATGTGATCTGTCTCGTCCATCTCGTGGCATCTGATGACATGCACAGCTGCTTCGGCCAAGAGTCTCCCTGCTCTTCCGCAGTAGCTTGCACTGGGTGATGAAGCGTCTGCAGCGGAGACTGCGGCGGAGGTTGCAAAGTCTGCTGCGGAGGCTGTGCTGGAAGCTGCACTGGAGGCCGCGTGGCTCCATGCGAAGGCCAGGGAAGCCGGCGGCCGCTGGACGGCGAAGTCGTGGCCTGAGATTGAAGTGCACCGCTATATCCCAATATTAGGATTGACGCTCGGTGCCCAAAGGCGTGC